CTACAACTTTCTAAGACGATACTTGGTTACAACAAAAATGAGTTTAAACTCAATACAAGTAAAGCCCGAGTCTTAAACAAAAATAATTACATCAAGAAACCAAAAAAGAAGCCTTAAGCTCTAGTCCTCCCAAGCTATGTCTTTGGCGGAGGCATATCATCAGCACCTCAAAGTTTTTTTTCCACAAAGGGTGAGCCAAGGCCTGGTAGATATACTCTAACACAGTATATGAATCGTAGCAAAATCATAAAGTGAGTATATATGCATGCCATTTTCCAAACATTTCTCGTTTTCCATCTCAAAACAATGTAATGCCAGACTATTTATCAACTCATGAAAATAATCTTTTTATACAGAAAACAGGGTAATGGATACAAAACACAGCGAATCTCAAGGTACTTGTCTGCCAGTAGGCTATACAAGCACTACCAAAGCCATTTTACCGATATTAACCAGAGGGATAGGCACCTAACTGCGTGATTTTCTGGACTTTCACCAAGGATACATAGGCCAACATCATAACCACAACCACACCCCTAACCAAATTCACCAAGATATTCACCCATTTTTCTCAAAAACCAATACATTTGCAATGTTCAATGTGTAATGATGCTCAATGCACAATGGATGAAAAATTAATTTCAATTCAACCTAATCCTCATGTAATGTCTACAACAATCAAGACTATCTTCCACCGATAGCCTAAAATAGATATTTCTATTCGATAGATAAATTCCAATCAAAAGGCACATTTTCATCAATTACAAAAACCCCCTTTTCCCCTCCCCCTTGCCCAGTAATTAGCTTTTAAAAATTAAAATAAGACCCTATTGTGTCCACCATGTCCCCATGCGTCCCCATTGTGTATTAAGAAAATAGACACGCCACATGTCATGTCCCATGTGTCCCTACCTTGTTTGTGTCCCATATGTGTTTGACATGGCTATGACATTTAATTTGAAGTGTCGGTGCTTCATAGACGTGTTCTTTCTGTGATCAATGTCATCTAAAGAGGAATTGTGCAAAGTACAAGGTAGATAAGACTAAAGACCAATCGTAGACACTAATTAGAAAGGGTTACAATTTCTCCAGGTACAGATGATCATTGAACATGTGTAAGGTTAGAGAACACTTTCCTACATATTAGGTAAGTGATGGGTACTGTCAGCATGGCTAACAATACAAAGAGCAAAGTTGTTGGTGTAGGGATAGTACTCCTTTCCATGTTTGATGTGACTATCTTGACTTTTTCTAAGGTTATACATGTGCCATAACCTATGAAACACGGATACTCCAAAATGAGCACTGTACGAGTATCGGATACAGATGCACATCTGATACACCAAGATACGTATAGGATACAGCAAAAGAGTATTCGAATTTATTTTTTTTTAATTTTTTGAATTTCAGATATGCATAGATTCGTGCCAGATACGTTTCAGATACTTTTTGGGTACTATCCCTACACCAACAACTTTGCTCTGGTAAACACAATATTGATTCATTTAACTGGAAATACTGGATTCAAGATGTTGGAGGTTCAAGATGTTGGAGGTTCTCATCTAACTGGAAATACTGGATTCAAGATGTTGAATACTGGATTCAAGATGTTGAAATACTGGATTCAACTTTCAGATACTTTTTTAACTGGAAATACTGGATTCAAGATGTTGAAATACTGGATTCAACTTTCAGATACTTTTTTAACTGGAAATACTGGATTCAAGATGTTGGAGGTTCTCATCTAAAATGTTTGTTATCTACGTTGTTTACCTATAATGTAACCCATCATTGTCCCACATTCTTAGTACAAGGGGCCTATTTAGTGCAACCTATTGTAAAGTAAAAGCTGATAATCAGAAAGCAAAAATCAAAAGCATCTCTCCCCAAAGTTATAGATAATCAGCTTTGTCAGCTTATTTAAACTATTTCTGTTGCCTAAAGTTGTAATGTAAGTAGAAGTTGCAGCAAAAAGTAGGCACAAGCGTCCATAATAAAATAAAATAAAATAAAATAAAAAGGCTATAAACAACTCAGATAAATTACACCAAATAGCCCCAAGGTCCACTACTTTTGCTCTGGTAAACACAATATTGATTCATTGAAACCCGGGGGTAGTAGTTAAGCTGCCACTAAACAGGAAAATGGAAGTCCATAGCTTAAGTAACAGGTTCCCATTGCTTTAATTCCTCTCATTAAAACCCAAAATTTGTCCTAAACCTCATGAGAAAATTACACAATTCAAAGATAAAATATAAAACATGAATACGGACAACAATAAATAAATAAATAAATAAAGTAGTAGTAGTAGCAGCAGTAGTACACTGATAAACCTACTTCTTGTTGGTGCTAGCATTCTGTCTAATGAAAGGATGCTGCAACAATTGATGTGCGGTCCATCTCTTCGCTGGATCACTTTGCAAACAGCACGCAATGAAGTCTCGAAACTCCCTCGATGCCGTTGGCGGCGCTTCAGGCGGCTGTCGCAAACATATCGCCGACGCAATGTTGGGGCAATTGTCCTCAAGTTCAACCTCAATTGGGTATCTACCCATATACAATTGAAGAATGCATAACCCAATTCCCCAAATATCCCCTGCATACCCAACATCATCATAGAATCCCCGATTGAGATCAGTGTTGATTCTTTCGGGGCTCATGTAGGCTATTTCTTTTGTGATTCTGGATAACCCGAAATATGCTATTTTGAATCGTCGTCCCAGAAGGTCGACTAATAGATTGGAGGGTCTGATATCGCCATGGGTAATTTTTCTGAGATGGAGATAGGACAATCCAGAGAGGATTTGAAGGGTGAGATGAGAGAGGAAGGGCTCGTGGTTCAATTGGATTCCTTCAAGGGATTGGCCGTGGATGTATTCGAGCAGGAAATGGATGTGGGTACCGTGATCGAACACGGCGTGGCATTTGACCAAGTTGGGATTGTCTAAGGCGCGAGTGATCTCCAAGTCCCGGAGGATGTGAGGGTCGCCTTGGCTGTAGGAGGAGGAGGAGGAGGAGGAGGAGGAGGAAATGGTTTTTAAGGAATAGAAAGAACCGGTGAGGCGGTGGATGACGCTGTAGAGGCTGTTGTCGTTGTCGTTGTCGATGTCGCCTGTGTCTTTTCCAATTGGGTCGATTCGCTCCAGATCAGAGAAATTCAGCGGCGGCGGCGACGAGTCTGGGTAGGGTTGAGAGGTGTTTACGGGGGTGGTGGTCGTGGTTGTGGTTGTGGTTGTGGTGTTGGTAGGGATGAGGGGAGATGCCGGCGGTGCGGCGGAGCTGGTTGGAGGAGGTTGAGTTTGTTCCATACTTCTCTTGCTTCTGCTTCTGCTTCTGCGTGCTTCTGTGCGGCGGAGCTGGTCGGAGGAGGTTGAGCTGGTTGAAGGAGGTTGACTGGTACAACAAAATGGCTTATCTCGAAATAAAACAAATAGCGATGGGCGGTTTCCTAGAGCCGTGAAATGGGAATCATATATTATAACCGAACAGGTTATAACTCATAACGAGGCTTCGTTTGGCAAACGAATTTTGTAGTCAAAAAGTTATTAAATTAGTCAAAAAGTCAATAATTCATATTAAAAAATCAAAAAATCTCTTTTCTCTCTACTTTTTGTATATTTTTTCGTAAAAAGTCAAAAAGTCATCCCAAACATACTAATTTTTTTTAGCTCATATTTTAGCCAAATAGCCAAAAAATTACTAAATTAGCCTGTTCCCAAACGGGCATGAGTATATGTTAATTTATTTAGTGTAATTAGGGGATTATGAATTTAAATAATAAAGTAGTATTTAGTTGATAAATTGTAAAATAATTTTTATTAAATAATTATCTTTTTTACCTTTATATAATGTAAAAATGATTTTTTTCAGTTTTAATTTTAAAAAAAATTATTTCATTATTAAAAGTTAATATAATTAATATTACAAAAATCACTATTTTCATTAATAGTATCAATTGTTAATTTTGTTTAATTTATTAATTCATACAATTAATATGAGAAAATTATTTATAAGTCCTATTAGGGAGACTTATATTATATATGGTCCTACAAAAAATTTATGTTTTCATAAGTCCTGTGAGAAGTTTGTTGACATATTTACCCTCAATATTAGTTGTTAATATCATAATAATAGTAAAACCATATATAGGAAATTGAATGTTACCATAAATCATATCTGTATAAACATAACGTAACGTAACACCTACATAAACGTAACGTGACGTCTATGATCTATAGTATCATGCAATTTCTTATATAGGAAATTGCATGTTACCATAAATCATATCCACATAAACGTAACGTAACGTGACAACTATATAAACGTAACGTGACACCTATGATCTATGGTAACATTCAATTTCCTATATAGGAAATTGCATGTTATCGTAGATCATATCTACATAAAGGTAACGTAACGTGACACCTACATAAACGTAACGTGACACCTATGATCTATGGTAACATTCAATTTCATACAGGAAATTGAATGTTACCATAAATCATATCTACATAAACGTAACGTAATATGACACATACATAAACGTAACGTGACACCTATGATCTGCAACATTCAATTTCCTATAGGAAATTGAATATTACCATAGATCATATTTTATATGAAACGTAACGTGACACCAGTATAAATCAACAACATTTTTACATTCAATTTAAAAAAATAAAAACTCATTAAGTTTGCAAAACGTAACGTGATACGTTACGTTACGTTTATATAGGTGTCACGTTACATTACATTTATGTAGGTGTCACGTCACGTTACGTTTATGTAAGTGTCACGTCACATTACGTTTAAATATGATCTTATGGAATACATTCCTATCTAAATAGGACTTGCGACTCTATAAGAAATTACACAGAACTTAACTTACCATAAGTGTCTGAAAAATGACTTATAAATAAAGTTTCCCAATTAATATACATGTCATTTCATTTAAGAGAAATTATTTCATTTTTTTATTATTTTGTTTTGTTTTCATTAATATCAATTAGAACCAAAAAAAAAATTTAATATTATTATTACAATACCAAAGATTATTTTATTAATAAAAGTTAATATAATTAGTATTACAAAAATTATTATTTTCATTAATAGTATCAATTGTTAATTTTGTTTACAAAAATCATTGTTTTCATTTTTTATTATTTTGTTTCGTTTTCATTAATATCAATTAGAACAGTTTTTTTTATATTATTATTACAATACCAAAATTATTTCATTAATAAAAGTTAATATAATTAGTATTACAAAAATCATTATTTTCATTAACAGTATCAATTGTTAATTTTGTTTAATTTATTAATTCATTACAATTAATATCAATTAATATACATGTCATTTCATTTAACAGATGTTATTTCATTTTTTTATTATTTTGTTTTGTTTTCATTAATATCAATTAAAACAATCATTGCATTTTTTAAAATTTTTTTATTATTATTTATTGATATTAATTGAAATAAATTTATTTAAATTGTGCAATTTATTTTAATTGATTATTTTTGTTTTTAATTGGTAAAGAAATTACCAAGTAAATTTATTTTTGTTTTTATTATTTTGTTTTTAATTATTATTTATTGATATTTAATCGAAATAAATTCATTTAAATTGTGCAATTTATTTTAATTGATTATTTTTGTTTTTAATTGGTAAAGAAATTACCACATAAATTTATTTTTGTTTTTAATTTTTTTTTTTTCTTCTCTTCCTTCCTCATGAACCATCCGTACGCCGGTGGTCTGCAATCCTAGCCACCGCCGCGATCTGGAACGACAGAGAGGGAGTGCCGTCGCTTGTCACCGTTCACCAGCCTAAACAATGCCGGAGATGGTTTATTGGTTTGTGAGAAACAGAGAGAGAGAGAGAGAAAGACGACGACAGATCGCGATGCATAGGGTTTCGAGATCGCGATGCCTTTAGATCGCGATGACGGCGGTGGATCCACCACCTCCTCTGACACCTCTTCTCTCTCTCTCTCTCTCTCTCTCTCTCTCTCTCTCTAAACTTCGAAAACACTAGGCGGCAGAGGAGGAAGCAAAACAGAAGCGGCGGTGGATTCGCCATCGTTGATCGAGGCTGTCGATTTGGCTCCCATAGACACTAGGTTTCCGTCGCCCTTCGCCACCGCAAGCCTCTCTAGGGTGGTGATTGTCACTCTCATAGATCTGAATCCGAACACACACACACACACACAGCGCTAGGGTTTCAGAGAGCTAGGGTTGGTCGGAAATCGCCTCTCTTTCACCGGAAATCGCCTCTCAAAGGCATGCGAGAGACAAAATGAGTTGTGTTTGGTTTATATACATGGCACACTAGTAATAACTTGAAATGGTGAGGGGCATTTAAGTCATTTTGCCCCTCAAGCCCCCAGCTGCGCGCTTAAGTTGAATCAAAAAGCACCTCCAGAGCAACTCAAAAAATAATCACTTTTTTGACTTAATTTAAGCTAAAAGTTGATCACTTGAGCTACACCAAACACACAAAAATCACTTAATTTAAGCTAAAAGCTGAAATAAGCTGGATTTAAGCTCTACCAAACACCTCCAATGTTGGATCCACCAAATTTGGTCTCGTCCAAATGGCTTCAATTTGTGTATATCGGCCGATCCTTTCAAAAGATATCAGTTAATAAGGGTGGCAGTCTCATTAATAAGGGTAATAATCGTGACTAATAATCGCGGTTGATAAATGTTGACAAAGGTGATAGTTGAAGTTGACAAAGGTGACAATCATAATTAATAAAAGTGATGCCAATTATTCAGCTTATATAATTTGGATGAGTCAGGCAAGTTCAAATTCAGTATATAAATTATTTTTTTTTTAAATTAATGAAAAAAACTATTGTAATCAGTAATATTTTGACTTAAAAAATTATTTAAAATTATTATCTTGTGATTCAGATTTATTCTACACATAGATTCCATACTATACAAATTCAATCTTAACCACACAACTCCCATTCAAAGTAGGGCTGGGCATAAGGTCATCCGACCCGCCCAAACCGCCCTACCCGATCCGAACCGCACGCATGTGGGCGGTTTCGCAAACACATTAGGGTAGGGTGCGGTTTGGATTTTATATAAATTTCGGGTTGCGGGTTTGAACCGCACCCACCCAACCCGCCCGCATTAAATTTTTTTTTTTTTTCCTTTTTCAAATCTAACCGTCCATCTTTTCGCTCACTCACCATCTCACTCACCTATACTATAACAAACAAAACAAAAGAAAAAAAAAACCCCTAATAATCTAATCGGCTCCTCCCTCACTCTCTCTCAGTCTCATCTCACTGTCTCTCTTTCTCACTCTCTTCTCGTTTCTGTACACACCGATCACTCTCTTTCCCATCTCATCACACCGATCATTATCACACAGCCGATCTACTTCATTCACAGGTGAACTCTCTCTCTCAATCTCTGTCTCTCTCTCTCTCGATCGTTGTTTTTTTGTGGATGAACAACAGAACTGATTTTTTTCATCTCTGATTTTTTTTTTATCTCCGATCTACTTCACAGGTGATCTCGCAGGTGATCTCTGATTTTTTTCATCATCGCACAGACGATTTTTTTCATCGCACAGCCGATCACTCTCTTTCTCATCTCATCGCACAACCGATCTGCTTCACAGGTGAACTCTCTCTCTCATTCTCTGTCTCTCTCTCTCCCGATCGTTGATGTTTTGTGGATGAACAACAGAACTGATTTTTTTCATCTCCGATCTACTTCACAGGCTACTTCGCAGGTGATCTCTAATTTTTTTCATCATCGCACAGCTGATTTTTTTCATCGAACAGTCGATCTACTTCACAGGTGATCTCTCATCTCTGATTTTTTGTGAACGAACAGATCTGATTTTTTGTGGACCAAAACAGATCTGATTCTTTTTGTGTGTTGTGGGTTTGTTTTCTGCAAGGCTTTGTTTTTTGTCTGAACACCTTTAAATTCCTATTTCAGCAGCAAAGTGGTTGCCTATGTTTTGTTTGTATGTTTTTTAGCTTTATTTCCAGTTATTCCACCTTATAAGTTTCCAGATAAGGTTTATTTGATTTTACTTTTTTTTCTTAATAATTTGTTTTTTAAAGTGAGAAAGGCAAAAATAAACATGATGTTTTGATGTTCAATTGCATTTCTAAAATGACTTTTTGATTTTTTAATTTTTTATACTTGAACATTGTATTTGATAGTTTCTGTTTCCACTTCAATTTAATTTTGGTGTTATATTTCCCCATGGTGATATGCTTTTCATATGGCTATGTAGATTGCATCTATTGCCAATTTGTAGCTAGAAATCTGTTTGTTTTATTTAATCAATCAGTAGAAAAATCTGTTTATTTAATGGAGGATAGTATTTTTGTAATCCTCTCTTAGTCTGTCTGTCTGTAAAATTGATTCTGTGATTGTATTTTTGTAATCCAACTTAAATGGAGGATAGTATT